TAGGGAAAGTCCTCCCTTAGAACAAACCGAGAGTTTCCGTTTCCACACCAAGCACTATCCACGTTGATTTACTGTCATCCCCCCAACACATTGAATCCACGGACACTGTCCACGTTGATTCACTGTCGTCCCCACACACACATTGAAACCACAGACACTGTCCATGTTGATTCACTGTCGTCTCCCCCACACATTGAAACCACGGACACTGTCCACGTTGATTTACTATTGTCACCCCAAGACATTGAAACCACGGACACTATCCATGTTGATTCACTGTCGTCCCCACACACATTGAAACCATGGACATTGTCCATGTTGAATCATTGTCCTCCCCCCCCACCATTGAAACCACGGACACTATCCATGTTGATTCACTGTCGTCCCCCCACACACATTGAAACCACGGACATTGTCCCCATTGATTGACTGTCATCCCCCCCACACACATTGAATCCACGGACACTGTCCATGTGGATTCACTGTCGTCCCACACATTGAAACCATGGACACATTCCATGTTGATTCACTGTTGTCCCACCCACACACTTTGAAACCACAGACACTGTCCACGTTGGCTCACTCTCGTGCCTCCCTCCCCCCCACAGCCTTGACAGGGTCAAACCAACAAACCAGCAGCTGTTTGTGGACCAGGTGACTGGGGCCCACTAGGTCTTTCTGTGGAGATGATAGACAGAATGTTCCTTTCCTTCCTTCAATCGGGAGCTTGGCAAAGTGAAGAGCTACAGACTCGGGAATCACACCCCTGCATGACCACTTGTTGGCTGTGTGGCTGGAGGATCTCTGAGCTTCTGTTCTCTCATCTGTAAACTTGGTCTTGGTAATGTGTTTCATAGTATTATATGAAAAGTAGATGAACTATTTATTTATTTTTTGGAGACGTTTTTGCCATAGGGTGTTTGCGCTCACCAGAAAGACAGAGAGAGACAGAGACAGAAAGCGAGAAATCTCCCCCAGGAGGGATGGCCACGCCGCAATCCCTTCTCCTCCATTCTCTTCTCAGGATCTTCGGCATGCACGCACACACACCCCGTGTGAGTTTAAGCCACTGGATCTGGGACTAAAACTGCAATCGACTGCATGGGAGTCCAGCGACATAGACATTACGCCAACTGCTGGCCCCAGTAGATGAACTATTTTAATGCAGTACCACATTGGGGCTGCAGGTGGCATGGTGCTTAAAGTGCTGGATTTCCACATGGCAGACCATGGTTCAAGTCCTGACCCTAGTGGCTTGCTTTCTCACTTTCTCTTTAACTCTCTCTCACTCTCTGGTCAAATTAAATAATAACAACAAATAAAAAGTAAATAATTCTTAAAACAATTACAGTGCCACATTACTGAGGATAGTATTCAGGTGCCCCGAGAGTCTGAGTGGAGTGGCTGGACCACACGGGGGCGTACTTTCCCGAGTTCTGTTCAGACAGGGAAGCAGCCCGGGTGGGGAGTGGCCTGGAGGCTCGGCCTGCACCGCCTTCCTTGGTGTTGGTGTGTTCAGCCCCAGGCTGGCACGGAAAAGCAGGTGACGCGTACCCTTTAGAGAACATTCGTGAAAGTCCTCCTGTGACTTCCAGCTGTCAGGGTGGCTGTCACTGAGTCACACAGGGGCGAGCAGCAGGGAAGGGTCACCTTGTTGCTCAAACAAAACTAGGGTGCTGTTTGTAGGTGTGACAACACAGAGGTGTGTATGCCCTTGCAGTACCAGCTACAGTGCCTGGAGCCCAGAGGCAGGAACTCTATTTTATTTTTTATAAGAACATTTAATTCATTATTATTATTTTAAATTTGCTATAGGGCACGTGCACTCACCAGAAAGAGAGAGAGAGAGAGAGAGAGAGAGAGAGAGAATGCAAGCTGCCAGGTCTGGGACTCGAATAGTGGTTGGCCATGTGGAAGTCCAGTGCCTCAACCACAATGCCACCTGCTCCCCACCCCTCCCGTTATCTTTAACATGTTCAGGACCTGTCAAATCCTGGCCTTCCGAAGCACCTACGAATCATCTCAGCTGCTTACATTTGTATAATTCTTAACATCTTCTAAGGCATTTTAAAACT